GTAATCGAGTGCCAGAAGTTTGTCACTCAAGTCGTGCATCGATTGGAAGAGTTGTGCGAACGCGTGGCCCGGACTCTGGCCGTCGCCGTTAGTGCCGTTCCCACCGCCGCCACCGCTCTCTTCGTGTATGTCTTTATTGTCACCCATTTTAGTGCCGAAAGTCATTACAAACGGCGGAAAGCATTCAATGCTATTGTTTTACAAGTGTTTTGTTATTCTGTGTTTTGTTGTGAATTCTGTGTCGATATTCTGGTTGTTATGGCAATCGTTGCACACAATCGCTGCTTAAGAGTCAACAAACAGTATATTGAATGTCATAGTAATGGTTATCTCTCATGTCTTGAGACCAGTCGTGGATCTAATGGTATGATTATTGAGAGTATTGTATGAATGGACCAATTGGTGGTCATTGAGTCATGTGTTTACTAAATTAAATCTGATTATGAAGTGTAATATTTCAAGTATGTTAAGTTAAAATTAGCTTTAATTAACCTTTTTCTCTCGCATACAACTGTAAAAATTATTGCGTTTTCATAAAATATAAATAGTATATTTCAGCATATAGCAACTTGTATATAGCAACTTGTACATAGCAATATGTACATACCAACCTGTATATAGCAACTCTTTATACAACGTGATTAAATAAAATATTATTATTATTTTTTGGTAAAGATAATAACAATTTGCTAAAGTATTTTCAGTCAGATAAAATCACATAATACTGTAAAGCACAATATTATAAGCACAATAATGTTGCCTGGTAATATTTTTATTGTGATACCCCATCTATTACAAGTATATGAATATTATTTATATTTCTATTATAGCGATAACCTTAAATAACATTTTCAATAGTTATTTTGAATTAAATAATACTAATTAAATAATTTATAAATTAATTTAAACGTTTAACTCGAAATTAGCTTAATAAAGTAGATTAAAATAGATTAAAATATTGATAGTATACCATTACCTACACTATCACTACTTACATCACATGAAACATTATGTTTATAAATAATTTAATAAAATTGCAAATACATTATAACATGTTTAAAACCAAGCATTTTTATCACTTCATACTTTTAAACGCTAGAAATGTTTTAAAAGTTTTGTAAAACTGATGATCGGTGCCAAAGGACTGGCCGATGGCCCGACCCGTGCGGTCGATGTACGCCGAGAGAGACTCCCTGTGCCGGCGGTGGTCGGCATCCGGACACGTGAGCCGGTATTGTAAGCCAATCATCAACAGCGCCGCCAATTCCGGATGTGTCGGGCCGTAGATCTGGTCGCCGATTGTCAACAACTCGTCCAACTGTCCAAACGTGTCGTTCAGACGTCCGCACGACTCATCTGTTTGTTATTAATGTAAATAAAAATTATTTACAAAATTTATGGCAAACTTTTCTAATAATTATAATTACTTGGAATTAATTCTGTAATAAATGTGTGAAATCTAATGACAAATAAATTCAAAAGGGGTTTAAGTAAAAGCAAAAATATTTTTAAATAACACAAAAAAAGTCTTGAAGCAATACAAAATATTTTTACATATAACAGCTAAACAAATAGATTAACTAATAATTAGTACTCTGATTATAATTAACATTAAACACCCGGTAATTACCCGAAAAACAAATCATTAGTTTGCGCTGAAGATCCTTAAACCGGTCATAAACTATACTATTGTCGGCCAACTCTTCGGCACAACATTTACTACAATTGCAATCAAAATAATACTGCGATCGCAGTCTTTGGCGGCGATCACTGCGACAGTCATCCAGTGATATGTAATGAATGAACACCGGCTGACCGGCGGGTATGTCCCGCACAGCCCTCACCGCAGCCATCGGGCCATCAAACTGGACACAGGCGTCGGGTGCGCACGAGTGGTCAAACACTGAGCACCCGATATACAGAGCGTAACCGGTCTTTACATTTTCATAATAGATATCGTGTATTGTTATTGCAAACGAGTTGATCAATAGCTGACCGTATAGTGTGAACAGTCGGTCCCTATTGTACGAGACATTCAACCCGTCATAGAATGTACACAATTGGCTAAACTGTAGGGCGCGGTAGTCGTCGCCATCAATGTCTTGGGTATGGCTCTCGAGTTCGGCCAAACACCGGGACTGACCGTTGAAACAACGGTAGGTTTTGCGCTGTAGTTCCGGCCGATTGTCCACTAATAGCCATAACCGGAGCAATAGTCTGGCCATATAGTCGTTGGCCAGAAGTGCAGTGTCTGCGGCACCGGTAGTGACGTATACGGGGCACTCGTATTTGTGCCAGTACCAATCTTCGCGTTGACATTGTTTACCGCAATAAAACATTTGCAAACACTTTGAACACCGTTTTAGTTGCGCGGAAGACTTGTTTGAAGTGTTGAAACAATAATCACATTTCAATGACTTTTGCCGGATGTCCAACACGTGAACGAATGGCTGTTCGCCGCAGCCGTTGATCACATCTCCAGAGGAATAGCTCTGAGTTGATAGCGATTTATTTGCCATTTATTTCTGTGGGTTTTATTTAATTTATTTAATGACTTAATGTTCTCTCAATTACTTTTCTGTTGTGCGAACAGATTGTGAGTGACTTTCGTCTCCAGACTATCATCTCATCTCATCACATCTCTCTCTCTCTCTCTCTCTCTCTCTCTCTCCCT